AATTCTTGGCCATTGGATGGCGCCACTGAAAAACAAGAAGCACACACTCTGCCTTAAATTTGCTCGGTTTCAGCGAACAGGCTTGTCCGTGTGGCAAGTGGCATTAGAAACAACAACAACAAATGTTGTCTCTATAAGTTATTGCAGTGACGGTGTTTTCAGATATTTTTCCTTGATTGTTTGAAAAATAGTTAAATCTTTATCCTTTTTATCACTATGGATTTTTATCAATTGAATGTTTCATTGAATCACTTGTTACAGTTTTATTACATCGAAGACACATAGGTAAAGTACAATTTCCTGGTGAAGAAATAAAGACATACTTCAAATAATCAACACTGTATTTTCGGCATTTTTTCTTCGACTCATTCATACTGTTATCTCTTAAAAAGGGAACAAAAGATATATGAAAATTTGTAAATCAACTGTTTAATTTGTAACAAACCACTGTTAATAATTATAAGCACCAACCTTGATTCATAGTTTACTTAGGACGTAAAAATCACTACTATTTTATTTATCTTAATTTCCATAATAATAAAAGCCAATCACAATTTTATTATTTTACATTAAACCTCACGCGGACCCCCTGACGTTGTTCAGGGACCCCTAAATCAGTTTTTATTTTTCACGGACCCCCTGAATGGTACCACGGAACCCTGGGAGTCCATATGGACCACTTTGGGAAGCACTGTCATGGAGTATCATTCTAGGCAAAAAGGAATAATATATATTAATATATAATAATATATTAATGAAAGGACATATTTTCTTGCTTGTAGCACCCTCACACACTTTCCTTCTAGTCTCTCTAAAATGCTCTACTCTCGATGCATGGTCAAATTCTAGGTGATAAAAGAACAACTTTTAGTTTTAAATATTTTTGTAAGACCGAAAAATTGCTCCTGTCAACTACAGTGACGCTGAAAAATTTAGCACTTTTAAAAGCCCTTACCAAAATTACGTACTTCTAAGGGCCCTTATTTTCCAAAATAAAAATTAAGCAGTTTTTAAGGACCATGGGAACCCTGTTTTCTCTTCATATAGCTAAGCTATGCCATTAACCCATATCTTCCAAAAGATAGCTATTGCACTTCTCGAAACAGACAGGCCCCCAAAGAATACATCTGTTATTAAATGATGGTCAGTTGCAGAGAGGGAGGAAGAACTCCAAAAAAGTAACATCATGGACAGCTGACTTCATTTCCCTCTGGTGTCTCCTAGAAAATTCTGAGAAATCCAAACACGTGTTGAAGGGGAGAAATACCGACAGAAGAGGTCAGAGCAGTCCTGGAGAGACGAAAGATGATGAGCGCAGTGTTGCCAGATTGGGCTACAAGTAGCGGATTGGGCTACTTTTAAATGTCCCCGCTACTGAAAATCGAATTTGGGCTACTCGTTATTTTTCGAATGCTACAAATCTTAAAAACTCTCTTTGTTTTTATTAATCTAGTGTTCGGTAAAAAGCGAATATAATCTGTGTAGAACTGTGTAAATATTTGTAACTAAGCCTTGTACATATAATTTTAATCTGAAAAATTATATTAAAAAGATTTGTTTTTAATAAGAGTGATTTAGTTAATCTTGAACAAAGTAACCAAATCATTACAAGGGATTACACAATGAGATTTGCATTGCTGTATTTTAGTGTACTTTAGAATCCTGCTAAAATTCTTGAAATCTATTAGAAATTCGCCAATTCTCTCAAAAGAAGTCGTTATACTTACACATTAAAGATATTTTAATGAAACTAGGTATAATTCATGTTATTTCTAAAATTAACTTTTTATGCACTTCGTTTTAAAAGAATCTATTTCAGTAATCAAGTTCTTTTTTTTTTTTTTTTTTTTTTTTTTTTTTTTTTTTTTTTTTTTTTTTTTTNTTTTTTTTTTTTTTTTTTGTTCTGACAGTATTTATACAGAAAAAGTCACTAAAACTGAATTGAGATGGAAGAAGTTACGACCGTTTTTTTTTTCCTTTTTCTGGGAGGCAGCATACACATGCATATTTTTGAGAGAATTAAACTTTTATTAATCTGAATTTTTGAAACTCAATATTTTTAGAAGATTTTTTTTTCTTTTCGAAAATAATTCTCTTGATTTTAAAGTACTTTGCATGTAATTAGTAAAAGTTAAATAATGTAAAATTTAAAAGTTAAAAAAATAATGAAAATTTAAAAAATTTAATATTAGTTACTAAAAAAGGAAATAAAAAAAATAATTAGAAAAACAATTTTAATAATTCAACTTTTAAAAACTTCCACGTAGTTAGATGAGCAGAGAAAAAAAAATTAAAAAGACGAAAAATACTTTTTAAAAAAATGAGTATGTTGTTTAAAGAATATTTACCTAAAAAATTTATAAAAGATTTCAAAGTAGCAATTCTAATTTTTCTAGACAATATTTTTTGCAGATATTTCTTTTCAATACTAAAATTAGTATTAAAAAAAGCAAAATATAATAAAAATTCATAAGAATATTAAGTTCAAAAAGTAGAGAAAACCTTGAAAAAATTACAAAATAATGGAAAAAAAATTAATTCTTCTCTCCTCAGAAAAAGATGTTTTAGATTAGCGGTTCCCAAGTGGTGTTCCAGGTAACCCAAGAGTAAAAAGGGTTGATTAAATTTATATTTAATTAATTATCCATAATTAATTTATTATCCCCGCTTTTTATGAAATTATTTAATTGATATGCTTGTGAAAGTAAAATTAAAACTTTTTTTTTCTTATAACAATATATTGAATGAATAATGAAAAGCATTTATGAGAAATTGCATCATCTTTGTATTTTGCATCAAATGAAAATAACAATTAAGAAGTATGTTTCTAAGAATTAAGAAGTATAATAACCATTCTCTGCATTTTTTTTCCAACTTCAGTTTTTTGAACACACTAAATCAAATTATGAACTACATTAGATCCAGACCTGTAAACTCAAATCTCAGCCATAAAAAAATTAAATTAAAACTAGCATTTATAAAATGATATGATAAAAAAATTTCATACTTCATACATTCATTAAATATTTTCAAAATAATGAAATTGAAATCATTAAATATTTTTAAAATAATTAGTAGTACTTCTTTGATTAATATGCTGATAATTGCTAATGAAATATATATTTGATTAGAGCCTAAAAAAATCGATCCATTAGGGTTTCATATCCGGAAAAAAAATTTGGAACCACTGTTGTAGACGATTTGAATGTAAACGACTTCACCAAGAATTAGACTGCTTTATAAAGGAAGCAAATAAAAATTCATCAATAAATTAATTTGAATAAAAGGTATAAAAAACAGCATTTCCACTCATTTAACTTTAATTCTTCAAATCATTGATTTATTGAAAATACAAAGTATTTTTTTTACCAAAGATACGATTTATTTAAGATCATTTGCTGTTAATTGCATTATTTTTATACAAAAATGTTCGAAGTTTTTTAGTGATTACAAGGGTTTCAAATCAGATATTTTTTAATTATCAACATCGTTTAAAATGAGTTAAGAAAAAATACTTATTATATATAAATTATGAAAAAAATAAAAAGATCAGAGTTTTTAAAATTGACCTATAGTTAGTTTTAAAGCGAATTAGAGTTGGCTAATTTTGCAATTTGCCTCCCCCCCCCCACAAAATCTATTGTTCCCTACGTCTTTCACCAACAATATAAAGACACACACAAATTCCCTTCTTTTTTAATTATAAGTATTATCTGATTTTCTGGTTTAGTTTTATATTTAAAATAATCTAATCGAATACTTTAAGAATGAATTTATTTCATTTTTTTTATTAAGTATTATAGTGTGAGTTTTAAATTAGATTTTAAAAGTATAAATTTTTGTTTATAATTTTTATCTATCCTATTTTTATAAGTGCAAATTTCACTATATGTACGATTGGGTAAGCCAACATATTCTGAAAAAGTTTTAGATTGTTGCGTTTTAGAGTCATTTATTGTATAAATCTTGTAGTACTTGCATATTTTTCTTGTATTTTATGCTTATCTACTATTTGCATATTCTAATTTTACTAAAAACTTGGTAAGTTTACTATTTACAACTAGACAATGTTACAATCGCAAATAAATTTTACTTTATGAAAATTGTGCTGCATATGGCTCGGAAAATTTTATTTAATTACTTAAAGTATTGTTAGCAATATGTTTTTATTACTTAAAAAAAGTTTTGGTGTACTTCACTTTTTTACAAAAGAAAAATTAACGAAAAAAAAATCTCTCAAATTATTGCATTCTTTTTCTCAGGTTAAAATGTGAAATTTTGACTAAAATATGGCTCTTCGTGGTATTTTTGGAATAACGAATTGATCTAAAAATAGTCATAGTTCTAAAATAAATTTGGAACATAATTTTACGTTACATGTCTGGAATACACTTTTATAATGAACAAACAGTCAGATTCTAGTTCTAGACAATTTTATCATATTTAATTCTGATAGAATGTTAAGTTTACCTGCATTTTAATATTAGGCAATAAACATCAATCAATACAAATAGCACATAATTGTTAACTTTAATTAACCAACAATGTTTACATTATTTAGTATCTTAAAAGCTAAGAACGCGAAACAAGTAACGAAATAACATTATTCAGAATAATAAATTTGAGTGACGTTAGTAAGTTAGATTATTGTAGTCAAACATTTTAAAAACAATAATGTAATGAACGAAAAAAGAAATTCGTTTCTGTTCTGTTAAATTAAAGTTTAAAACTAACGCTATCGATAAAAAATTATAGTTCTAACTTGAACAAATGTATTGAAGTGAAAATAAATCAAAAAGAAAGCATTTAAAAAAAGAAGAAAAATTATTTACTGAAATACATAAATTGAAGCATTGAGGAGACAGTAACACAAGCTAAACCGTCATGTTAAGAATTGCACCAACAAGCAAATCAAAATACAAAAAAAAAGAATTTATACACTCAGGAAAATCAGGGCTACAGTCCGTCTTGTTCTAAAAATAAAGAACTTATGTACTTACTGAACTGCTAAGACATCATTTTTTTTTTTACTTTGTCATTTATTTAACTGAAACTCAACTACTCGTTTAATCATCCAGCTATCAACAACTCTATTCGGCTAATCAAATAAATTTTAATTCTCGCTTTTGTTCTGATGCCGCGCGAGAATTGACTTGGCGAAATATCGCCAACGTTTGGTGGTATACATTTTTTGCGTGCCGTAATCGAACTTGGATTGGAAAAAAAAAAAGAAAACCATTTTTCTCTTTACAGAATTGCTAGTTTGAGAAATTTTTTTTTTGGTACTTCAACGGTTAACAAAACGGAAATGATTTAAAAATTTTTCATTCATTTATTTATCATTAATTTTTTTATTTTTATGGAAAGAACATGTATTTCGTTTTGTTCCTGAAATGAACAGATCGTGAAAACACGATTATCTGTAGAAAACCAGAGTAAAGGCATTACTTGCTGCGGCAACTGACAGTGAACCGCTATGAGTAGCCTGGGTAGGAACCGAGGGTGCTCGGTATCGGTCCTCATTAAACAGTTTTGTCGTAAAGTGATCGACTACATGCGCTGACCGTCGGGCTACCAAAGCAGGGGAGCCTTCTCTTTAGCAGACGATCAAAATTGCGTCTTCGAATCATCCTCAGGGATATTTCCCGGACCGCTCAAAAATGCCCATTGTGATCCGGGATAGCCTGGTTGGTAGGGCACTGGGCCCATGTCCAGGAGGTCGTGGTTTCGATCCCACCGGTCGAAGATTCCCCGTGTAGTAAATGGTGACTGACGCAAATTAAATCTGTCGAGTCACAAAGTCCTCCATGTTCCTATAACAAATCATACCTCTGGGGGTATTGATCCAGGACTTTCCTTGTCTTCTGGATTGGTTCAAAATTACGAGGCTACGGAGTTGAACAGTAATAGTCGTAAACCAAAACTTGGGTCTGTTGTTCAACGACGGTATTAAAATATATATATTAAATAGCCCATTGTGCAGATTTAGTGCGACGTAAATAAAATACTACTACTACTACCGTTTTACTTCATGTTAAAAATAAATAAATAAGAATTTATAATTTACTCGCGCATGGCTGCAAGATTACAAATTAATAAGCAAATAGAGCTACTCCTTCAATTCCAGGTTACCTACCTTCGGTAAACGAATTGTTGCCCTTTTTGGTAGGTTTTGAAAGGTAGGAAATACCACGTATTCTCATCATTGACGTTTTTTTTTTTTCAGGTGAAGTTCTTAATAAACACTTTCCCGGCCTCTCGAACAGTGTAAGGGTCATTGCCCGGTATTTCCTACAATGTCATTTTTTTTAACCGAAATTGTGTGAAATACGTTGCCACTCCCGGGGAAAAAATTTATCCAAACAACTGAAGAAAAATGAATTAAGCATATAATAAAAATTAATACTAACTTGGGCGAACTCGAAGCCTCGAAATTCTTTTAAATGCATTTTGATAATGATTCAGATTCTGAAATTGAAACCGTTTCTGGAAAAAAGCTGACATTCAATCCCCAACATTCTCCACCTTTCAAAAGGTGTGGAACTCCTATAGGAAGACATCTATCGCTAACCGAAAAGTATCTCCCCCCCCCCCACCTTAATACTTCCAAGTACCGAAAGTAGGTAGTTTAGTTGTGATAAAGAGTGACTATTTAAGGTATCCGACTACCTTAAAAACGAGGATTTTCGCAAAAAATCACTTTTTTATTTTATTGCTTTATAATAATGTTCAATTTTTCTAGTTTTCAAAACTGTTTTGTTTTTGAATGCACGTCAAGCAGAACTTTAGTTATAGCTATTTTAGTAACAGACGACAGCTGTCTAACTTACCGGAAATTACAAAAATGAAACCGGTAGTAGGTAATAGTTTCGGTTCTATTTCTATTTGTGTGTTTATTTTTCTGAGATATTTAATTTTTAAAAGCTCTTAAACTCTCGGCTAATAATCTGAATTATATTTTAATTAGATTTTACGTTTCGTGTTTACTGTTTGTGGGTAGCATGAAAAGTTAGCATATTTTCTGATAGTTTGTTTACATTTGAAGCGTACTTTCTATATCTTGATTTTGATTTGTTTTGAAGAAATTTATTGATTTCTTTCAAAAAAATTTGTTATTTATTTTGATAAATTTATTGAGTTGGGTAAAGGACGTACTTTTCGATCTAAGAAGCGTAAATATACGGTAAAATTACGGTAATCAACATGCCAACAAAAGGGATGATTTGAGTAAAGATTTGATACCATTTCTTCAAAATTGTGTAAAGCAGATGAATCTATTACTTCAAGATCTTCAAAATTATCGATTTCTATGGATGTCAATAAAGAACTGATCCTTTTGGATAAAAACAATCTGTGTAGCAATCGAATAATTGATATTGAGATCCTGATGATGATATTAGCTTCATTATGTTGTCCGGTTTGCTATGATAACAAATTGCATTTTGAAGAAAATTCTAGATTTGGGCTATTATAAATATTATAAAAATATTTTTTACTTCTAATTATTAATAAAAACTATATTTAGACATATATATTAAAGTGTGAAAATACAGTAAGATGGTTGTTTAATAAAAAATTGTTCCTTTGTTAAATGCTTTATAAGTAGTAGACTTTTGATGTTATTCACTAAATACTTTAAAATATCGCTAAATAATACGTTAAAATATCGCTTCGTTAAATATCGCTAAATACGTTAAATAAAACTATGAAAATGTGTGAAGGAATGTACCCCCTATAAAATATAATAACTTCCTACTGACAAACATTCATAGTTTTTAGAAAAAATGTAATTATAAACTTTAATTGTGTTTATCTCAAAATGAAAATTTTGCTGTTTTTCGTCTACCGAAAACAAGATAACTCAACTAATTATTATAAATTTGTCTTCAAACTTTCAGAGATTGTTTCTTGTATTGGTGGTTATATAACAGACCTCCAGAATTCAGATAACTGTATTAATTTTTGTTTTATAAGATATTTTGCAGTAGATAATGTGAAGAAAATGTGAAAAAAATGGAAAAATATGCTTAACACTCCATAAATTTTTTTAATTTCATGCTATCATTTAAGTTGAGGTTCATAACACTTCAGAGGGTTATACGAAACGGCTCAAAAAGTTTGATAGCTGCATGTACAATAGTTTTTTGTGTAGAGTGTTTTCCGTTAATAAGTTATTTTCATTAAAATTATCTAAAAAATACTCTTTAAAAAAAATTCCCTATATATTTAAATTTTCTCTATTAAATATGTTTATTTAAATTAATATACAATATAAATTGCAATAATGTTGTGGAAAATATTTATTTTTCAAAAATTTTGTCCTGAAGGTAGTCGGATACCTTAAATAGCATTGCTGTCAACTTGTACGGTTATTCAGGAAAAAATCCTCCGCGTGGAAATTACAAAGATATTTGAATGTATTTATTGGTTTTCAAATTTCGATATAAAAAAAATCTGATGTCAAATCAATAATTCAAACACATAAGGTCTATGCGTTAGTGAGCTGCTCCATTTTCAAAAAATTCTTTCTACTTTAGATTTTAAAATATTTTCTAATAGACTCACATTCAATCAAATAAGGAAGGCAAGAGGAATTTTATTTGCTTTTTATTGTTTTGCACTTCACACAGAGCCGGATTATACCTTTCGTAGGCCCTAGGCATAGCCGTTTTTGGGCCCTCCCCTCCTTCCCCCACTCCTCCCCTCTTTTCAAAATGTATGCTAAAATTTTCTTGCCTATTTTTTTTTACATTTTTATTAATATGGATTTTAATTTACAAATTTGTTTATCGAACTTTATCTGCAATACCGACACACTGCCGATATTGCAGTTGATATCGATTTGGAATTCGACAGCATTGTTCGCGCATGTGCGACTGCCGCGCCACCCCTTTGTGAGAGACCTTTTATATACCTTGAGAACTTCATGAATGGCGGACGTAGTCCGTGAGCTTTTAAAAATAAAGTGTCCTACAGTCCAAACCAGTGTTGTTATTTACCAAAAATACATATTTGAGCTATCGATTAGAGCAGTGTTTCCCAAGGTGTGGTACGCGTACCCCCAGGGGTACGGGAACAGTTTAAAGGGGGTACGCGTTCTTATGAGAAATATCTTGCAACCAACGAAAGTTTTAAAAACTTTTATTCAAAAACAAAGCTAGCCATGAAAATTTACGATTACGTATATTTCTATTGGCTATTTTTTGCAGAGTTAACAGTTAATATTTAGTGATGTCAACAGCTAGTTGTGACTTTTAACTTTTGTGCAATTTCTTATAGTTAAAAATACAGTCATTTTTTTATGAGTGGTACACAGTGTTACGAAAAATTTAGAAGGGGTACACAGAAGTCATAAGTTTGGGAAACACTGGATTAGAGTGATCACAAAAACAAGCATAATACATAATTTCGTTGAATCCAAAAATCGCAAAAAAGTAATATATTAGATCATAAGATTCTGCAAAATAATTTATTACCGAAAAATATTTTTTTATTTGTATCTTTATAATTTTGCGCAAAATACACTTGTTGTTTTTAAAGCTAAATTATTTTTGTCAACAAATTTTTTTCTCCCAAGTTTTTCGTGGGCCCCTGAATTTCGTAGGCCCTAGGCACGTGCCTAGTGTGCCTATAGGTTAATCCGGCCCTGACTTCACATGTTTATAAAATATCATGACTAAGACCCAGATTTTAATGACACCTTTTGACTCTTGTAATAATCATAATAGAATCAAAAATATATTTGTTTCTAGAAATATATACATATAAAGAGTAAGTATAGTGCAAAACAATAAAATGTATAGTGCAAAGCAATGTAGTATGTTATAATTCTTATCTATCCTATTTTCACAAGTGCAAATTTCACAATATGTATGGTTGGGTAAACCAATATTTTCCTATAATATTCTGAAAATTTTTTGATCGAGTGTTTTGTTTTAGAGACTTCCATTGCATAAATCTTGTAGTACTTGCATATTTTCTATTCTATTTAGTTATTCACATGGTTTTATTCCATTTTTTTAGAGGAATTAATGAATTAGAGAAAATAACGTAAAACGGTTGCGTCAATATGTTTAATACAATAGAATTGATCTTAACATAGCTAATTCAAATTAGTTTTTTGTATGCTTGCATGATTTTTATTTCAAATTAGACAGTG